TTTAGAATTTGAATACAACCATGAAAGGTGTCATACGACTGGGCCACATGAAAGATAAATTGTATGTTTGTTTAGAATTTGAATACAACCATGAAAAGTGTCATACGACTGGGCCACATGAAAGATAAATTGTATGTTTGTTTAGAATTTGAATACAGCCGTGAAAAGTGTCATACGACTGGGCCACATGAAAGACAGATCGTATGTTTGTTTAGAATTTGAAGACAACCATGAAAGGTGTCATACGACTGGGCCACATGAAAGACAGAGTGTATGTTTGTTTAGAATTTGAAGACAACCATGAAAGGTGTCATACGACTGGGCCACATGAAAGACAGAGTGTATGTTTGTTTAGAATTTTCCATGGAGGTATTCAAGTGCAATCTGCGCATAGTCCATAATTTTAAACTGATAGATTAGAGAGAAGGCAACTAATCAATGGCACCCTCGACTACAATGTACGGACACTGGGACGCAAACCGTGAACTCTAGAATTCAGTCCGTTAACCACTAGGCTACGTCCAGCCCATCCCTTGGGTGCACAATCAGATGTGTAAATTCATTATACTGGAGTTTTCCCACATCATTACTTAACTTTACCAAAACGGTCGTAGCGCACAATGTTGCACTGAGCATATTATTCACCAATTTTTTTAGCTATGATGTGAAGCTTACAAGCAAAACCACTGACGACGCTGCCAATTCTGGTGATTCTGAAAAAGGAAAAAAGAAAAGGACAAACGAACTATGCGATCAATTTTGTGGCTCAGTCAGGATTGATCGATCTTAAGCTGGTCTTATGAGGTCAATGTTTTATTTCTAATATCAAAATTACGTGAATTCGCAAATTAACTTTGTTATGACAATAATGGAAATTGGGTTATTAAACAGAAAAGAAAGATAAATATGGTTTATCTTTCGCGCCTTTAAAAGTACTATTTACTTATAAAGTTTATTTACACTTATTAAATTACTATTTTACTCAGAGTAAGGTTAACTTGTTTATACAAAAATGTGTTATATAAAAGTCCATAAATAAAATGGGGTGGTGTAATTGAAATGATTTACTTGAATTTATCTATTATTAAACATTTATTCGAATCAATACAATTTTATAAAATAAAACTTTAACGAGAAAACTATGAAACCAATATACAAAATAATTAATTATTTTTTAACTTCTGAACGAGGACGAAATGTGCTACTCTTAAATTTCATTAAGGAAGAAATGTAATCCCGATTATAAATATTGTGCTTACAAGTTATTATTTCTTTATATGCAGAGAATACAGTATTTTTTGTTTTTATTTTAGGAAATGTTCTGAAGAAGAAAATGTGAAGATTGTTGTAAAAAAAGTCTGAAAATAGATTTGGATTCATATCTAGACACAACAGTCAAGTGAATATAAATGTAAATGTTGCTTTGCTGAACTTTAAAATGTGTTATATTCAATAACAAAAGGGTTTCCATCATTTGTTAACAAATACTAGCTTCCGCTTCTCCCCGTGTGTTCGTTACAAGTCGCCGACGTTTCACTGTAGTGATTATATGATGATTGATAAAAATATCTCGCTGTATGGTTAATCTAAATCTTTGGGTTTTCACCGTTATTGAATTTGGTTATTGTTTGTTACGAACTGTTCATACAGCTAAATAAATACCAGGAACATTTCATGGTTTTTGTTTTCATTCTTCTGTACAAGTATCTTATTTAATTATTTAATATTTGTACAGAGATTGGAATGAAAGATAATTCCAATTTTAACTTAATCAAAAGAGTATGAAATGAGATATCAGGAATTTCGTAGTTAATTGAATGTGCCCCAGTGTAAAGAAAAACGAAAAAGAGCTAAGGTTTGCACTAAATCGTTTTATCTGCGATACAAAAATTTGAAACCACATTTTCAATACTACAAATACTTTAAAATAAACCCGTTGAACTTAAAAAAATATCATCATACACTCGTTTCGTCTATTTTATCTCTTACATAATGAGTATTATAATTTATACCACGGTCCATTTCTTGACTGTTTTGTTTATTGCGAATTGAATTGCTTAAAGATTTTCTTAGGAATGAAAAATATATCATGGTATTTTTTACCACTGATCAAACTACTGAATGAAAAAAATATAGCACTGATGAGATGCGAGATAATGACATACATATAAATAGAACATTCGTATATTTGAAAATTAATTGTGTCATGGCAAACTGCATCCTTCCAGACAATTCTGAACTAGTCGTTTTATAAGTTCAGATCAGCCATTAGGATTTATATTCAAACTTTCTAAACGTTTTAACAAAGTCAGCTACTAAATGTTATAAGAACGTTAACTAGAAGCCACAGATAGTTTCTACCTCTTCAAGATACCTTCCTCAATATGCGGATTTGTTATTCATGAAAGTGATTGATGTTGTCATGTAGATGACATTTAGATTTGGGTTAGTTCCATTACGAAGGATAATGTTTTTTCCCACAGAATGAAGTCTTTGCACATACTGTTGTAACTGTAATGATGAATGTGAACTACATTCACTCAAAGCGATGGTTTAAAATCTTATAATTTGCACTCAACTGCATTTCTGTAAAAAGTTGTAATAGCGACAAATATCAACAGAAAAGCACATTTATCGTTTCATGACCGTTATCCTTCTATACATTTTTAATGCTCTTATGTATTTTTTTTTGTATTGAATAATCATTTTTCATTGGCAAAACTGTTTTAAACAATCGTGTTTAGTGTTTATGTTCGGTACATACGAATACATTCGCTAATAACCCAAATTGAGATTAATTTCATGAATATCCTTTATAATTAAACAGTTAGTAAAAGACAGTTTGTAAATGAAAAATGTATCAAAAAGAGTGCAAAAAGGGATATAGGAATGGTACAGTTATACACAGATCATCCCTACATGATATTCAATTTCAATATTAAAATATAATGTTACACTGTCGAATGCACCAGTGCAAAATGGTTACGAGGCTGGTCAATTCGTTGTACGTCAATTTTCCTTGTACATAATTCTTAGGCTCTTAGTTACACTACATTGATACCTACCCTGACAAGACCATGATATTATGATAAACAAACGGTCAGGAATATATAACTTTCAACTGTAATATGCAGTCAATTGTGTGTTTTTACAGTGTAACATTAAATTTTAATATTGAAAGTAATGTGGTGATGAGTTATGTCTAACTTCATCATCCCTAGATTCTTATTTGCATTCTTTTTGGAACTGTCATTCCTACATCATTTTACATTTACAAACTGTTTTTTATTACTTGTTTTTTGACGTTTAATGTATTCTGTGAATGTGTGTAATAAAACTTAATATTATGAGTATTGATTTTTTTACTCCTTTACTTCATACATAATATAATGGTTAGTTCCTTAAATAAACGGATTGTATAGAGTATAAAGCACTGAATATTCTACACGTTACAGTACTCTAATTTTCACATATTATTGGCTGGTAATTACTGTTTCATCCTGTGCTTAAGCTTGTTAAAGGAACACCCGAGATATGTAAAACAGCTAACATCAAGGGGTAATGATAACATAATTTACACTAGACTTATTATTTTTTTAATTACTACTAGTTACTAAGCGATAACATTGTGCACAGCCCAAGAACACATAGAGTTTATTTATGTTTAAACTGACGTTAGTGATAAAGTAGTTGTAGAGTTATCTCGACTGAAACAACAAGAAGAAAGATGAACAATTTGGTGGGTTGGTCACTTACTGGTTTGATATCTTAACGATGGTTTATTGCTTTGTTTTGGGGCTTTTGGGATATAAAAACAAATCAAAGTGTGTGGGAATAATCTTATAAAATAAAAATATTTTTGTTTGTATTATGTCTGTTGAGTACCTTGGCCATCCCTACATATACATCTACCGACTCTATGATAATAATTAGTTTTTCACCCAAGATGTACTCTTACAAAATATATTGTACCTTGCATCGTGTGAAAGCTTTCTTTCGGCTTCCAGTAAATACTTACAAAATTAATTTAAACATCAAAGTTGTAGCTGTTAGCTCACGACCTCATTTGTCTGTAACACTGAATCTATAGCTATCAGCGCACATATCAAAAACAATCTGTAGCATGAAGTTGTAAGCTGCCAGTTTACACCATCAAAATTATCTTAAACAAGAAACTCATAGCTACCAGCTCATACAAAAAAATATATATAAATTATCTGTAATATTGAACTTAATTACCCAGCTGCCAAAGTGCATATTTGAAATAACATTTAAAATCAAACTGAAACTTTGGCTACAATCGTTACTATCAACTTATGTAGTTGCTGGCTTACAATTTATCAGTTTATATCTTACAAATAATCTTCAGTGCAGAACTTGAAGCTCATAACCGACATCTTTGAAATATTTGAAAGGTTGAACTTGTAGCTGCCAGTTTACACCACTGAACGGAATTTCCTCTATGAAATAACAAGAAAAGCAATATTACTATATGAAAAACACTACAAACAATAGAGAGTTTTTTTTAACCTAAAATGGGTGGAGTAACATGCTTGTATTTCACTTCATAAAAGTACAATGGCCACATATTTTTGATACGTAGTTTCGAAAGTATTTTAGCTTTCTTATTCTTCCGAGTCATGTCACTGTATTTTCTCAATACATAAAACCTACGTTTTGTTGTGTTGGATCTATTAAAATATAATTTTACACCAAATCATGTCTTCCAGAAAACCTTCTATTAATTTGTGTGTGTGTGTGTAAATTATTCAAATACATTTCGTACCTCCTGTAGTATTTCTAAATTATATTCTTATAACTACTTTAAGAAAAGAAGTGTTTAACTTTTATTAACACGTATATAAATTCGCCCTTCACAATATTTTATTCATAACGAATAGAGAGAGCCAAATGAAAGCATACTTGAATAAAGTAGACTTGATTCAAGCACCTGTTTAAAACTATTTAACCACTTTGTATTTATTTACTTTAGTTTAAGTACATTACATATAACTTTTTTAAGTGTGGCTGGCACAATACAACAAAAACGTTATGCATTACGAAAGGAATATACACAGGTGTCAGAAAAAAGGGGTCAGGACCCAAGCTCCATTACAGGGGAATGTCACCCATTTCACTCCTTTTTCATTTCTCAACTTCAATTAAATTTTTTGTTCAAAATACTCATTTACTATAAATAGAATAAGATTCTAAAGTGAATTTGGTAGCTAGAGCTAAAGAGTATGAAACGTAAAGTAAAGGTGTTAAAGTAAAATGTAATAGAAGTAAATTGGCCTTAAAACAGCTTATTTTCTACATTAATTCCGCTTGTATTTTAACTGATTTCCATTGCATCAAAATAGATCCAACGTGCCAATCTAACTGTAAAGCCCCCCCCCCCCAGTGGCACAGCCGTATGTCTGCGGACTTACAACGCTAGAATCCGGGTTTCGATACCCGTGGTGGGCAGAGCACAGATAGCTCATTGTGTAGCTTTGTGCTTAATTACAAACAAACAAACTAACTGTAAATATTTTCCAGGAGAGCATTTCCACAAACCGTCCAACTTTATTTACAAATCCCCCCCCAACACATATTTGTTTCTAACGGCTATGATAAAAACTTGGCAGAAACTGTGCGATGTCTTCATTAATTTAAAACAATGCCATTTTCTATGAGCTTTGCCTACATTTTGATACGATAGATTGCTACACGTACTTATTGTCATTATTTTCTTAAAGTACAGAGTATCCCTTTTGTGGTTAAGTCGTACATTGAAGTATAACTTTTTTCTCTTCGTTTACTGTGAGTAAATATAAAAAATTATATAAAACTAATAATGTTCCTTTATCAAATATATTAATAGCTAAATGCCATTCACTGAAAACGTAATCAAGGAATCTTTCTGGCTAACATTTACACTTATCACTATGTTATAACGCTATGTCAACAAAATCAAGGCGAATAACTTCAAACTAATTCATTTGTTTTAAAAATAATTCAGTAGATTCTCTATACTTTGATTGTCATTCAGCACAGGTTTTGGCCTATACATAGAAAATGTTTCGAAAAGTTATTGCGAAACTTGTAATAACTTATATACACTAAAGTAATCGATATACGTATAGGTGAAAGTATTCGTTATTCTGTTTTCTAGAGAAAGCTTGTAAAATTCTAAGAACACCAGGCCTTGCCTGACATAATGGCTAGCTCGTTGAGGTAAAGCTGTGATTCCGTAGAACACTATTTACTACTTAGAACACTATCAGTTGTTAGTGCGTTATAAAAGTGACAGTCAAACTTGTTATTCAGTTCGAAGAAGCCTGACAGATCTTGTGGTAACGAGTATCGATGACTGGCTGTTCACCCTTCAATCAGAACAAATTAGGGACCGTATTTGAATCCTAAACGTTTACACTATGTGAGCATAAAAGGTCAATTAGATTAAATGCCAATACCATATGATGAAAATAAATATATATCAATTTTTATTAAATATTTAAGTAGAATAATTATCCTGATTTATAAATCGTAGAAGGGTGAAAACAAATAAATAAAATTTTAAATAAATGGAAATATAACATTAGGGTAAGAACCTTTGCAAATGGTTAATTAATTTTATATTGTAAATTAAACAATAAAACTAAAAGAAACAAACAGCGCTTCCTGATTTATGGTACGGATATAATTGTCAATTACTTTAGACCTGTGAGGTTTAATATTGGATAATATGTTATTTGTAAAAAAAAAAATGTGTTTTAACCATTTGTTTAGGTTTTTCTATTCATTTGAAATTTTATAGTTCTACAAAAAAGTACCGCAAACCATCCTTTTTTCCAATATAAATTACATTAGTAATTAATTACTTCTAGCAAATTATGCTTTTACTCAAGAGTTTCATTGTTTAAAAATACGCAAGAAAAAATAAATAAAGAATATAATTTATGTAAGATTTCAAAGTTTCTTTGCGATTTTCAGTAAAAAAAAGGATATCGTTGGAAACATCGTTAAGATCGAGAGCTATTAGTAATAAAAAAAAACATGTATACTCTGAAGATTAATTTTTCAAACTTCATTATGCAAGTTCTCCGGCGGGTCAGCGGTAAGTTTACGGACTTACAACGGACGAATAGCCCATTGTGCAGCTTTGAGATTGAAAACAAACAAGTAGTTTTAACTGTAATGTTCTGCTATCTTGTGTTCACTTGGTGAAGTCCGTTACTGTAACGATCCAGTGAAATAATCTCGACAACATGCAGTTTCGTTTATTGGTTCCTTTACACATGCGCAACTATTATTTTAAAATTACACTGAAAAGGTATTTGGTGAAGTCCGTTACTGTAACGATCCAGTGAAATAATCTCGACAACATGCAGTTTCGTGTATTAGTTCTTTTACACATGTGCAACTATTATTTTGAAATTACAGTGAAAAGGTATTTGGTGAAGTCCGTTACTGTAACGATCCAGTGAAATAATCTCGACAACATGCAGTTTCGTGTATTAGTTCTTTTACACATGTGCAACTATTATTTTGAAATTACACTGAAAAGGTATTTGAATACGTGAGAACATTTTAATAATGATAAATATTGTTTATTTGAATGTACTTAAGAGCTCATTTATTCAATACGTAATGCTTCATGTGCTGTACACATTGTTTCACACGATATCAAAAGCTTTTTCACGATTTAAGTTTATAGCTTGCATATCCAGTTCGTTTTGTCGTTTGTCATCCTTTATACGGGTTAAAATAGCCCAAACATTCTTGTTGCAATTCATTTGAAGTGTGGCGATTTGCAAGTGTAGGTATGCATAAAATTTCCCATTTTGGGAAGGTTACATTATAAATATTTCCCATGCGATTTTAAAATGCACATACTTTTAGCAAGTCAAAGAAAGGAAACTTCTGTAGCACTGACCCGTATCGATATAGGTGTGATTCAAGTAGATACAAAAATCAGGCTACTCCACAACTGGTTACCAGTCAAACACCGGAGATAGTAAAGAAAATTAAGCAGCTTGTCGTAGGAAGCAGCACGATAATACAGCTATTTATTTGAGGTTAAGAAAATTCCTTTGTAACTGTAAACAAGACAATGAACAAGAAATGAGATCCATAAAAGCAATTCAGAGCCATATGCA